GTTCATTGGGACTTCAATCAGAAGTTAAATGATTTGTGAAGCTATCCTGAGAGGTGTATAATTGGTACTTTCCTATATTAACTCTACAATCTATCTGTGGATTGATTAATTCAGAACAGCTCTTTCCCTATGGAATTTCTTTTACTGAAATTTGCTGCTGTGTTTGTTGTAATAATATTCTTGAGGACAACCTGGCTCCTCTGCTTACTAGCTGTTGTGTCCTTGATTGGGTAAGCTGTTTAACCTCTTCTTACCTCAGTCTTCTCATCAGTAACTTGAAAACAATACCTGTACCCGTCTCTTATGGTTTTAAGGAAAACGTGAATTAATATATGTAAAGTACTTAGCTCCTAGTAAACGTTCCATAAGTATTAGCTGCTATAATTATTGTTACTTCTTTATATGATATGATCCATAGGACAAATTTTTCTCTACCTCATTATCAAGAATTGTAGTGCTGCTTCTAATTTTGTTACTTTTTGCTTCTTAATGTTACTTTTTATGTTGGTTATTATAGAGATTAGATTAAAATTTTTTATTGTTCTTATGGTACACATTTTGTGTATAATCTTTTCCTTTCTTGGTTTCATATTCCCTTGTTTATTTTTCTTTATCCACTTATGTTTAATTTTAAAATATAGCGTATTAAACATAGTTTTGCAAACCACCTTAAATATTTTCTGAAATTCTTCTGGGTTCATATATGTGGTAGAAATATGTATATATATATATTTTTTCTTTTTTTTTTTTACTGACCAGTAACGGGATCGCAACCCTCAGTGTCGTGCCCGTACCAGGGACTGGCAACAGGATCGCAACCCTCGGTGTTGCGCCCGCACCTCATTCAGCCAGTGAGTGGGAACCAGTCTCCACATGGGATCCGAACCCTCGGCGGGAGCGCCGCCGCACTCTCAAGCGGTGCACTCTCTAGTGCGCCACCGGGCCGGCCCGAAATATGTATTTTTTAACCTGGTTGAGGCCATACTCTATATATTTTGATATCCTATTTTTGTTATAAATATTTTAATTCACTACTGGAAAGATTATGTATGCATTATAATGTAAAATTTTACTTTTCTATCAGTATTCATATTTAAAGAGAAAGGTAGCTCAAATGTCTTTAAATTAAGAACAGATACTACACTTGATCTTAGGCAAAAGGCCAAGAAGCGATCAAATGTCTTTATACACTAAAAATTTACTATAATATTTTCAGTTTTCTTTTTATATGACATTATATTTCAGAAAACTAATTCTAATCTTATTCTAGTCACTAGCCACTCTACACACAACCACTTTATGCAGTTATTTTATTGAGCTAATAATGACTTATTCAGATTTCTCAAGTGAATCTCAGAAAAATTAGCTCAGACCATTGAAAGGTGTTAAAAATGTTTAAGGCAGGTAATTGCTTTAAGATTCAAATTTATATTCTGTGATACACTTCATGTAGGTATACTTCTCATTTTAATAGGACTTTTTTTTTTTAGTGGTGTTTCTCTGTTGCAAATCAAAAGAGCATAATTCCAAATGACACAGAATCTTAGGAGATATATGAATGTTTTCCAGGGATCTGAATGAAGGTGAGGTGTTGAAGGTTAGACAGTGGTAGCTCTAAAGAATTTCATGTCCTGTTATTTAAAAAATTTTAAGGAAGTGCAGTAAGAGGAAATGGTTCAGGCTTTGTGATATCAGTGCTATTTTTATTCTGAGTTCAAAGGTTTCAGGGATAAGAAAAACATACAAAAACAGGGGCATTCATTTTTCATGATTTTTATTAGTGTGTTTTCAAAATGCTATTAAAAACACTCTCTGAATTTTTTTTTTTTTTTTTGCCTTTCCACTTGCTAATAGGGATGTGCATGTAGGCAGGAAGAATAAGGAAATGATAATATATTTTTAACAACCCCACAAGACAGTATATGTTAAAATAAATATATTAAAACAATAATTTCATGGTACTAAAACCCAAATATTTTATAGACAGAAACATTTGAAAATGTTGTTATTCTGTTTTAAAGGTTAGCTTATTACCTGAAATTAATTTATATCATTGACCCATTCAGACTGTACTGAAACCGTACTCTTAATTAGATTTGATTAGGTTCACTTGTTCTGTGAAGATTCTGTTTTACTTTGGTGTCCTTACACTTTCACTCAATTGAAAATAACTTGAGTATAACTAATATTAGGGAAAGTAGGGCCAATTATCTTTTCAAGAAAAAGCTGAGATTTTTATTTTTCAATATGGGATCTTAATTATGAAAACCAACAGCTTGTATTAGAGGGAAAGCTTTTTTTCCCTCTCTCAGAAAGGTTTTTATTTTGGGCCGGCCCGGTGGCGCACTGGATAAGTGCGCCGCTTGGGAAGCGCGGCGGCGCTCCCGCCCGAGGGTTCGGATCCCACATGCAGACCGGTTCCTGCTCACTGGCTGAGCGAGGCGCAGGAGCAACGCCGAGGGTTGCAATCCCGTTGCCGGTCCCCGGTCCGGTATGGGGGCAACACTGAGGGTTGCGATCCGTTGCCGGACACGGAAAAAGACAAGAAAAAAAAAAAAAAAAAAAAAGAAAGGTTTTTATTTTAATGCAAAGATACATTAGAAATGATGAATGGCTTTTTCTAACATGATGGTAGGCATAGAGTTTAGGTGATAAAACTGAACTGAGCTAGTTTTCTAATAAATGCCAAATATTTTCCATTTCTACACCTTCATAGATTGAAAAAAGGAGGAATATTTCTGGTCTGTAGTTCTGGTTGGCATTAACAGCATTGAGCTATATTGATCTGTTAGAGTTTGTCATGTAGCAACAAATAATTATTTCATTTTACATCAGTAAATATAAGGGAGTCTCCAACTGCTAAGTTGGAATAGAGGAGCCCTATGTATTAGTTGTATTTCTCATCATCTCTATTAGTAAATGTTTACTTACTTGAATGAGGCAAGTACTGTTGACATTGTGTGAATTAAAAAGCTGTAAAAGTACTTTGGAATTATGACCAAATGAAGTAGTGCATTTTCATATGGTGCACAGAATGGTGATTCAGGATATATTGGTATGAGAATGAGGAATTCTCTCCATTGAAATTAAAAAAACAAAAAAATTTTACCAGTTGCTAGCTTCAGCTTCTTGAGTCTGAGCGTCTTATACCAGAGTTATGACATTCCTCATCTCCTTTTCCTGGACCCAGGCAAAAGACTCCTGAGATGAATTGGGCCAGGATATTGTCTGTTTTCAGTCTGAGATGGGTTTTTCAAACTTAACGTCCATCCATTTCTTTGGAAATATAGTACCACTGGGATACCTTCATCATGCTGCCTCTCTGAAGTCCAATAGAAGTGCTTAAAGAAAACTGGCCTACTTTTTCCTTTATTTTCCCCTTCATTTCTTCACCTTACTTTTAATTTATGCTATTTTGTTGCATATTTTGTATATCCTTGTGCAATCGCATAAACCCTGTGAAAATATGGAAGGGGGTATAAATTAATGAAATAGAGATTCATAACTTAATGTCTTCTGGGAAGCATACAGTGTATCAGAATCACCTACTGTAATGTTTAATAAAAAACTGGTATAGGCCCTACCTTGGACCTACTCAATCAGAATCTTCATGATGATGGGACCTAAGTTTATGTGTGTTCCGAAAGTTCCCCAGCTGTTTCTGATATGTATCTTTGATTTTGAACTACTGTGGTAAACTGTGTTTTTTGTTTAATTTTCTAGGACAATATGTGATACAATGCTGTTGCAAATAATTTTCTGAAATAAGTTAGTTCTAAGAGTTTTCTTTAAATTTACCTTTTTCTGTGTTAACTTTTTAAAGATTTTATGTGTGCGTGTATATATGTATGTGTATATATGTACACATATGTATATATACTTAATTTTTTTCATAATCTGATTATGAAAATGACCCACAAACACTTATTTTGATTTTGTCCTATTTTTCTTGCAGAGCAATTTATTTACTGTTCTGTAGCAAGCCCTGAGTGGGAATGAGCTCTTTCCCACCATGAACCACCCCAGTAAACACTAATCTTAATTTTCATACAGATTTGTTGCCATTGTGATTATAAGCAAATTCATTATCATTGTCATCATTATCATTATCATTTTTTATCAGCTGAAAACCTGGAGTGGATATGAAAGAATTTACAAAAGACACTAAATTTTTGGATAAAAGTAACTGTAAAGTTTAAATTTTGTTTGATGTAAGTGGCACAAAATTTATCTGAAGCTAACAGAAAAGAAACTATCATCTTCAACATTAATACATGTAAGAAAAAAATGCTCTTATTATATGGCACCAAAGTTTTTAACAGCAGACAGACTTTTATATGCTACAACTATTAATAGTTTGCTTAAGTCTGTTACACTATTTTAGTGTTAGCACATTGTGTGTGAGCTTTAAACAATTGCTTATAAGTACCATGCTATTGTTTCTCAATTCCTGTACCTCATCTGGTGACTGTCCTCCTCAGTTTCCTTCATTATCAAGCCTCTTCAAATACAGTGAGTCACTATCATGGTCCCTAGCATGTTTTTTCAGGAGAACTCATCAACTGCAAGAAAACACACATTGATTAATATCTCTGCATATTGAGTTTGCATGACCTCCCATTTTGAAATGGAAACAACACATTTTGGTCTCTGCAGGAGTGAAGCTGATTCAGTTAATTTCTATTAAAGTCAGGTGGAAATTACTGCTCTTATCTAAACAAACATTTTAAAGGCAGAGGAAAATGCTAAATAAAAGGGAGAAGGGGAAAAAAAAACCCTTCACTCTTACTATATTATGTGAATGAATATTAGGATAAAATTTCAAATGACCAAAGATAGCTTTTGAAGATCTTTTCTTTGATGGATTGGAAATGATTTCCCAGTTGTTGTATGGAATGTTATGTTCAGAGAGGTGACTCTATAGAACTAAATAAGCTACCATCTATGTCTTAAAAATTAATTCTGTATATTCTTTGATGTGTGGTGGGGATTGGTTTTAGGATATGACAGCACGTGATCTCATACAGCAGAGATACACTCTTCCAAATGGAGACACTGCCTGGCGTTCCTCGCCCCTCGTGAATGCTGCTCTGGAAGGCAAGCTGGTCCTGTTGGATGGCATTCACCGGGTCAACACAGGCACACTTGCTGTATTGCAAAGGTTTGTATGAGTCACAAAAAAACCCATAATGTGCGCACATGCATGCACACACATACAACTTGCTGACTTAAGCAGTAGACATGGTACTCTAGAAGTTTTGTTTTTTTAAAACTGGGTTATATAGATTCTGAGAAACTCATGATTCTACATCCAAGTAGAATGGTAGATTTTTTATTGGTATAAATAAAGTACAGTAATCCTCCAGATCATGGACATTTTAGGAAGAGCTACTGCCATAGCAAATTTTTCTGTGTAAGAGATGAAAAAAGAAAACTTTTCAGTAGTAATTTTTAAAGACTTTATATGTGTGGATTTATATATGCAGCAAGTCACACAGTTGAACTTTCTATAATTTGTCCGAGTCACAGCTTCACTGTGTCCTTGACAAGATGCAGATACCAAGTATAATTGAAGATTCCAAATACATTGTGTGAATCCTGATTAGATTTAAGAGCATTTAAAGATAATAGTCACAAACTTTCACTGATTTATCATAAACATTCCATAGATTTACAATATTTTTCTCTCCCTAACAGGCAACTGCAGACACAAAATAATACTTAGTCCCCTTTTACTGGCTGTCTCTTGCACGTTTGGCCAAGTAGTAATAGTAGCAGCAGCACCTACCATTGATTGAGTGCTTTGTGCTGGGTATTGTGTTAAGCCAGTGCTTCACAGGTTCTTAACATTGGAATCACCTCGTGGGATGGGAATTAGAAAATACTGGTAACTGGGCTCCACCTCCACAAATTCTGATATAATTGGTCCAGGCTGAGGTCTGAACATTGGTGTTTTTAAACACTTCTCAGAATATTCTAACGTACAGCCAAGACTGAGAACAACTATATTAAGCATCTGCTTTACATTAGCTATTTAATTTCACAGCAACATCGTGAGGTTGTTATTATTGCCTTAATTATATAAAAGATATAAGTTTAGAGAGATGGAGTAGTTCTCCCCTTCCCAGCCATCCAGCTAGTAAGGTGCAGAGCTGGAGTTGAACCCAGATCTGACTGATTCAACGGCCCATGCTTCTAACCTCTACGTTATCCAGACTCCCCTCCCCTCAGTGCTTACACAATGGAGGTTGTGTGGGGCAACTCTAACATGAGCATCAGGAGACCTAGGGGTAGGTATAAGATCTAGAACAGTGCTTCTTGACGTTTGCAACATCTGGAAGACAGTGCTCTTAGTGGTTTGGATGGTTAGGTCACCATCAAAGTTGGCAAATGAAATAGCAATATAGTTATTTCATTATGAAGATTTTTGATATTTTAAATCCTATAATTACAAAGATAGAAATATTTTGATAATACCACCCCTTAAAGAGTTACCTTAGACTCAAGGTGCTATGCACCAACTGCCTTGTTCATTAATATGCACCTCATGATTATCCTCTGGCACTCCTTTAGCTGTTTCTTTTGTCTCCCTCCTCCTCCTCCTTTCCCTTTCTTCTTCCTCCCTTACCTACTCCTTCTCCCTATCCACATCTAGCATTTATAACTATTCCCCTCCAGTACAGAAATCACCAGTTTTGCCAAGTATAACAGCACTAGCTGACTTGAAAATTTTAAAGGTTGTTTAACAAAATTGTTAGACTCAGTTGCCAGTAATAATAGACATGATTAAAGTGTTGACTGACTGATTCTACCACTAATAACTTCAGTGTTCAAAACTGATTAATGTTTTCTTACTGTCTTCTTACCCTATTAGGTTAATCCATGATCGAGAACTGAGCCTGTATGATGGCTCTAGGCTGCTGAGAGAAGACAGGTATATGCGTTTAAAAGAGGAGCTGCAAATGTCTGATGAGCAGCTACAGAAGAGGTAATTTTTCTACTGTTATTCTTACTGTCAATTTATTGCTAATTTAAAAACAGTATTGTTCATTATTTTCCTAAATCTAGGGTCAAGCCAAGGTAACTTTGAACAGCTTAATCATATGGTATCCTGGGAATGCTAGTAGTTGTCACTTCTTAAAACTTGAGGTTGTTATCCATGATGTACTCTGTACTCTCAGCCTTACTTTTAAATAAGTGTTAAAACATTTATAGGAACATTGGTTTTAAGAAGGTAATCCCTTATGTGTTGCTCTACCACCATTCGGTTTTAGCCTCATACTTGTATCCCCTTAGCAAAACAAAAGCTGAGCCCACAATTAACTGGACCCATCCTCCTGGGAAGTCATCAGTATTACTGGGGTATGCCACCTGATTGTAGGATCACCCATTGTGTCTTATTTAAGCATTCCTTCTGCAGATGTAACAACCAAATGCAATGTGTGAGACTTGATTGGATCCTAGAGCAGAAAACAACATGAAAACAACTATAAAGCCTGATTAGAAAAGTTAAATATGGACTATATATATTACATGATGTTATTGAATTAATATTAATTTTCTTAAGTATCATAATGGTATTGTGGTTGTGAAGGAGACTGTTCCTATTCTTAGGAGATGCTTGCTGAGATACTTAAGAGATAAAGTTAAAAAATATGTACAACTTATTTCCAAATGTTTTGGGGGGGGCAAAAGACATGCATATGTGTGTGCAAACACCACAGAGAGAGAAAGAAAGATTAAGTGAGAGCAGGAACACAAATGTGGTAAAATCTTAATAATTGGCAAAATCCAGGTGAAGGATATACGGGTTTTTGTATTCTATTCTTTTAAATTTTCTGTGGGTTTGAAAAATAAAAAGTTTGGAGGAAAATATTTCATTCAGCTGCATACTATAATTTCCCTTAAAGGAAGTTTGGCAAATATGTTATTTTCCATCTCATTACATTTCCATGGATATTTTAACATAATTAGAGATTGGCACATTGGGGAACTCATGGTCACTTAATCTGACCTTATTTACGTGAAGCTTCCCCTCCCTCCAAAGGGCTTGCTGCCATATTTAAATCATTAAAATCCTACAAAAGATGATTAAGTGTATTATTTATTATTGTGTTTATATTTTAAGCAAAGTTTCATTTAAAAATTTCCTTGGAATTTTTCCTTAGGGGGAAATGTTAAATTTCTTACTATCTCAGTATGTTATTTAAAAACTCACTTGATTACACAGCTGCTTATGCTTCTGGGGTGTACATTATGAGATTCCTCTAGCCCAGTAAGTGATTTGGTTGAGTGTTTAGGGAGACAAGTTACAAAGATTCCTCTCACTTCATACCTTTGGTTTATAACATTTAGCTTTTGTACATTATTTGCAAGTGAATCACCTCTTAGAGAACAGTTTATATTTTCAAAGAGATTAATCAAAGCAGTTGGGCAATAGCTCACAGCAAGCCTCCCTGGCAGTTTCCCTTAGGACGTCAGGAGCATTGTACTTGTTGCCAAATGTCCCGGAAATGACAACCCTTTTCAATGAAAAGTACCCAAGTTTTTCCTAATGGTCACAAGCCATTTTGCAAATGAAAACACTTTCAGGAACAGAGTGGCCCTGAGTATCATGCTTAACCGAGAGTGGTTAGTAGTACTTCATTCTCAAAGGTGCCCAATTTCATTGCTGTTGATTTGCATCTCTTCCATGGATGAAACCAGGCTTGGCTCTGTCTCCAGAAGCCATTCTGAGAAGGTGGAGGGAGATCATAGCAATGCTTGCTTTCCTTCACTTACTGATTTTTGTTTAAATTTTTACCAGTGTTAAACATGCATAAATCTTGAACCAGATAGTTTTTCAAAGCATTTATGAAAAATACCAGTCTCCTGTTCTTGGTTCAATGAAAGTCTCCCATTACCCACTTCTCACTCCCCAGAGGCTATCACTTTCAACTCTTAGCTGTTTCTTTTGGTATTTACCTCTATGTCACTAAACAATATACTTATTGATATTTCTTGATTTATTTTTCAGTGTTAGGAGTTATCTATTGCTTTCCTACATGGAAAATTAAGGTTTAGTTTTTTCACAACCTCTCTTTTCACTACAGTGCATACTTCCATCCTCCATTCTTCCTAAGTGGTTATATAATAATTTTGTTAAAGCTGTACTCAATGTTTACATTATGCCAGCATAAGGAGCATAAACAGGAAAGCCATTTCATATACTACAATCATTTTCCCTTGCATATATCTTGTTTTTCCTAAAGTTAATAATTATCTACATATGGAGAGAGACAGGTGTGTACATAAATATTTACAGTGCAGTTTTATTTTCATTTTATTGAGTTGAATATCAATGCCTGTTTACAATGTATGATGATAGTTAGGATAATTAGCATGTTTATCATTACAAAACATAATTTCTTTGCTTTGAAGACATTTGATCTCCTCTCTTCTAGTCATTTGATAACATGCAGTAAATTAACGTTAATTATAGGTACCTAGGTCGACTGCATATCAGTAGAATTTATTTTTCCTAATTAGTTGTTTTGTGTCCATTAACCCATTTCTTGCTATAACCCTTCTTTCCTCTAGTAACCATATTTCTGTTCTCTTCTTCTGAAAGTTCAATGTATTATTGATCTTTCTTTCTTCCCTTCCTTCCTTCTTCCCTTTCTCCCTCTTCCTTCCTTCCTTCCTTTCTTTGTTTCTATTTGTTTTCTAGCTCCCACTTGTGAGTGAGGACATGTGGTATTCTGAGCCTGGCTTATTTCACTTAACATGATTTTCTCTAAGCTCATCCATGCTGCTATGAATGGTAGAATTTCGTTATTTTTTTATGGCTAAGTAGTGTTCCATTGTGTACATATACCACATTTTCCTTATCCAGTTGTCCATTGATGAAAATTTAGGTTGGTTCCATATCTTGACTATACAGTGCAGTTTTAAATGCTACGATAGAGGTCTATACAGTAATGCTATGGGAACACCAAGGGGGAAGTGATCCTATTTTCTATGTATGTATCACTTTTTAAAAAAAATTTAATCTCAGACACTTCTCTTGTCTAAGTTTCCTCTCAGCACATTCAGGCACATTTGATATTTATTAATTCCATCTTCTATCAATTTCATCTTTCTCTCATGATGTATTCTTTTTTTTTTTTTTCCTTTTTGTCTTTTTTTTCGTGTCCGGCAACGGATCGCAACCCTCAGTGTCGCGCCCGTACCGGACCGGGACCGGCAACGGGACCGCAACCCTCGGTGTTGCTCCCACACCTCGCTCAGCCAGTGAGCGGGAACCGGTCTGTATGTGGGATCCGAACCCTCGGCGGGAGCGCCACCGCGCTCCCAAGTGGCGCACTGTAGCAGTGCGCCACCGGGCCGGCCCCCTCTCATGATGTATTCTAACAAACCCTAATCTGGACTTGTTGCTCTTTATACATGTAGTGCCCGTGTCATCTTAGATGTCGCTCCACTCTCACTTCCCCAGTTTTCTCATCTCTCTTTCTGCATTTTTCATGATTTAGATGGATGTAGAACCTCCTTGGTTTCCTCTCTTATGTTCTGTCAATTTGTTGGGTCTTTGGCGAGATGTCCTAACGATGATTCTCCTATCTTGTCTGAAATATTTCCACCAGTTGAAAGCCTAATTTCCTTCCTTATCCGTATTCTTTTTTTACCTGAGAAATACACTATTTTCTTATGATCGTAAACAGTTTTTATTTTGTTGTTAAACACAATCATGTTACAGAATCTGCTTCACTCTGATGGTATGAATTGTTGGCAAATGTCTTTACCTTTTCCAGATTAACCTTAATGTTGTAACTCATTTTTATCTTTCTGTGAATAAATATGTTCTCTTTAGAGTAGATTCTTCTTCTAAGCCAGTTGACAGTGTTTCTTTCAAGACTATGTTTATTGGGTAGAGATTGATAGCCTGACTAAAAAGACATCACATAGTATAAAAAGCAGGAAATTTTTACTCAGGAAATTAATTTATGTCATGAATTGTTCTTGTGAGTAATATGACCCATTATCTAGCATGGGTTGATTGTATGTGCTGTCCACATCTTATATGTCATTCTTGGCATTAGCATTTGAACAGCAAATTAGAAACTCATGACCCACATCGTCTGTCCTTTCATTTCTGTACTTAATCACAGAACTGAATTTTATCCAAGTAATTATTATTTCTGATGGTCTTAAAGCAAACTCAGCTTTTATTTAATTTATTTTTATTAATGCATTGTTTCCTTGTGGGAGGTCTTAAGACAGACGAAAAAGGGTCAAAGGTAGAATGACAAAAAGGTCAAAGGTAGAATGACAGGGAAGGCTTTTGTTTTGCTTTTTTAAAGGGAAGGGTTTTGGTGAGGTGGGGGGTGGTGCTCAGGGGTGGTGTATCAGTTACAGCTGCCTAACAGAAAGAGCAGCTTCTAGTCTTGCACAAATAAATAAATCCCCTGCCTCCAGGAGATCAGTAGTCCAAGAACAACTTCTACTAATTTGTAGAGTAATACCTCCTGAGAGTTGACTCCAAAGCTCTTGTTCCCACTATAATGACTGGGTGATTTTGTTAAACTTGGATATTAATAATGGTAATCCATGGAGTTAGTCACTCTGTGGGCACCCAGAATAGTACCCAGGTGATTCTTATCTATAGATTTATGATTTGGAGGGCACAGTTGTTCATTATTGATCGTTAGAATTACTTCATCCTTCTCTTCAGGTTATTCATGTTTATTGGGTGCCAGCTCTAAGATAACATAGTTGCTGCCTTCTGTGGTGTGCCATATATGAAGACAGATAGATATGTAAATAAATAATTACAATGCAGTTTTTATATGTTAGGCTAGAGGTCTGTACATAGTGCTGTGGGAACACTGAAGAGAATGTGACTAGTAACTGTTCCCAGAGAAGTAAGGAAAAGCTTCAGAATACTGTCTAAGTTGGCATCTCTCCGGGTTTTCTCCTTAGCCTTTTCTTCTTCTTGGGCAGTCTAAGTCA